CATTGATGGACATTTAGGCTGTTTCCATGTCTTGGCTATTGTAAATAATGCTGCTTTGAACCTTGGGGTGCAGCTGTCATCCTGAAGTAGGGTTCCTTCTGGATACATGCCCAGGAGCAGGATTCCTGGGTCATACGGTAAGCCTGTTCCTAGTCTTTTGAGGAATCTCCATACTGTTTTCCACAGTGGCTGCACCAAACTGCATTCCCACCAGCAGTGTAGGAGGGTTCCCCTTTCTCCACAGCCTCTCCAGCATTTGTCATTTGTGGATTTTTGAATGATGGCCATTCTGACTGGTGTGAGGTGGTACCTCATTGTAGCTTTGGTTTGTGTTTCTCTGATAATTAGTGATACTGAGCATTTTTTCATGTACCTATTAATCATTTGTATGTCTTCCTTGGAGAATTGCTTGTTTAGGTCTTTTGCCCATTTTTGGATTGAGTTGTTTGTTTTTTTCTCCCTCCTGATGCCTTCTTCGGCATCCCTTCATTCAGGACGGATGCATTCTTTGACAATTGTTGGCAAGTGAAGAAGCAAAGCACATTAAACAAAAATGATCATTGTTCCTATAACCACACTGAGCCATCCATCTAAATTCAGAATGTCCCAACACGAACCGGCATGTTCTATTTCTATTATTCGACTTCGTCTTCAACAGAAATGTCTGTTAGGGCAGGGGACTATAGGAAGTCCCTCAGGGTCTATGGTACCTGGATTAATCATTAAAAGTGAATCTCTGATTGATTGTTTGCAGCATGGCTGAGTGAGAGTGGGGAATTATTTTGTCTAGGAGCAAAAGATCTGTTTTCAAGGAAATTAGTTTTTGGACAGTTGAGGGCCTGCAAATTAATTCCTTTAAAACTATCAACGTTCTATGGCCCTTTGGAAAGGCTGCACATATTTCTGTTTGAAGGCAACTGATTTGTTTTGTGAGAGTCACATAATGAGAACTTTAACAAAGATTTTGTGAGCTCCAACATATAGCTTCTCAGAGCGCCTCCCAAGTTCTCCCTCTCATATTAACCCTTTTTCATAAGAGACAGAGGAGTTTCCCTGAAAGTTTTACTCGTGTGCCTTGAATCTTCTAAACCAAACAAATTGTACTTATTACCCATATCATCTGGCTCCACACAGAGCTGGCTCCACAGCAGAGAAATCTAACAATTAGATGGAATTTCCAGAATGAGGCCTGAGAAACCGCAGATCTTTAAAGAGAATGGGGAGAAGCCATATTCAAAAGTTTTTCACCCATTCAAATTCAAATTTTATACTGAATTTATATCAATAGTTTTTTGCTTTGTTAGCATGAGACTTCAGCCGCCTTAAACTTAAGCCTGGGCTGAGCCGAATTTTGGCCTCAAACAGCAAATCAATGGGAAAGAAAAAAAAAAGAAAAGAAAATCCAGAACTTTGTTTTTGATACCGACGAAAGAGAGCAAGCATAGTGCCTGGCTTCTCCTTGACTGGAGACTAAGAATAATTGTAAAGACAAAGAGATCAGAACCAGAGATGGTTTTTCAGCAAAGGCATTCTTCTAAATTTGGAACTTCCTTTTCGTATCTCAATGTAGACCTATGACTTCTGTCTCTAAACTGTTTTTTGAGTGTATTTGTATGTTTGTCTGTTTGGGGTAATGAACAATGTTACCTTTAATTACCCTAAAATTACCTCTATGCATCAGGGATTGGCCTCTTCCCTGTCAGTCTGCATAAGTAGTTTTGCTGAACTTTTCCAGTTCCTTTATGTCTTCCTGAGGGTCCATATCCAAACGTGCCCATGACTGTCCAGAGGCCTCCGCTGTTGACTTAATATAGAAAGATTCTCATTCTTGATACAGAAAGAAGAGCCAGAGGTTAAAATTACACACCATAACATCTCTTTTACTATGTAAATCCAACTAACATGACCCTTTGAAAAGGTAATTTTTACAGGAACTTTTTATATCTTATACTCTCTAAACTCTGCTCTATTAACCCACTATCAATCATCTGTTTATAACTCAAAGGTTAATAGGCGAATACTCACTTCTAATTTATTATATGTATGGTGTCGGCCTGTGAGCCAAAGGCAGAATTAAATCAACCTGCCAGCTTCACTTTTTCTTTCAAAAAACCCAAAATTATAGTGCTACATCTGGCCAATGAACTACTGCCAACATCTCATTTTTTTAAAGTTGAAGTATAGTCAGTTTAGAATTTTATGTCAATTTCTGATGTACGTCTCATTTCAAGTGAATTTACATGTTAATTTAAAAAAACTTAAAATATGAAAATACTTGTAAGTGGATTCCCAAGGTGAAATAAAGCATGCATTGCTAAAAGCAGAGTCTCGTTCTTTCTTTCTCTTTTTAATTGATATTTTTGGGTTTTGTTTTATTTTGTTTTTGCTTGGCATATGTCTTGAGAATTAGCAGTGAATTGGAAACAGTTGTTTAAGTCAACGTATTAGACAGCACAGAGCTCCTGTACTTTGCTTTTTCAGTCCACATGGGTTCCACTAAATAATGTTACCCCACACTTGAAGGATCATGCTTCCCTTTGAAATATCTAATTTCACCTGAGCCTTTTTGGAATTCTCGGGAGCGTTGGTTTTGACTCTTACTTTTTGTCTCCAAAAGGACTAGGAATTCATCCAGAGTTGAGCGCTACATACAAGAGAGGCTGGATGCATTATATTTTGTCATAGCTCCATGGGTTCTTATGAATGTTAAGAAATGGCTTGTTTGCAGATCTTGCCGTTGATGATATAAATAAATTATGGTTTATCAGATGCTTGCTGCTCATCCCTATGCTATGTACTTTGCATATGTGATTTCCTTAACACACATTTAATCTCTCTGACTCTCCATTTTGTCATCGGTAAAATGAGAACAACAACAGCCCTTACTGCACAGACTGATTGTAACTTATCTAAAGGCACGTGGCTGAAAAATCTGATCACAGCTGTGTCTAACTCTAAAAGCCCACGCTCCCTGACCACTGTACTGGAGGAGAGCAGACATGGGCCACGTGTGCAATTCCACGCTTCCAAGGTCTTCCCCATGACCTTACCTGACTACTTCATGAAAGGCGTAGATCTGTTTCCTTGTGACCCTGTCCGGACTATCTGACCAGACACCTGTTTAGAGGCAGTTTGAGCCATTCTCAGTTAAGACATAATTTGTTTTATCAGTTTGCTTTTGTAGAATCTGTTTGTTTGAACCTGCATTTTAGCAAAGTGTAGCCTGTTTAGAAGTTACTGAACTATATGGTATCACTTACATGTGAAATCTAAAAAAAGAAACAAACTTATTTACAAAACAGGAACAGACTCACAGACATAGAAAATAAACTTACGGTTACCAGGGTGGGGAGGGGGTGGGAAAGGATAAATTGGGAGTTTGAGATTTGCAGGTACTAACTAATATATATAAAACAGATAAAGAACAAATTTCTACCATATAGCACAGGGAGCTATGTTCAGTATCTTATAGTAACTTAAAATGAAAAAAATCCGAAAGCAAAGGTGTGTATGTATATGTATGACTGAAGCATTGTGCTGGACACCGGAAATTGACATAATATAGTAAACTGACTATACTTCAATAAAAATATATATACATATATAAATCAACAAAAGAAACAAACAAAGAAGTTACTAAACTTTACTGAAAGATCACCTGGCCTGATTTGCAGTGGGAGCCCGAGCAGGTACTTTGCACGTACCCAGTAGGAAGCTATTTTCCACATAGACTCCCCCAAATATTATCTTACGGACTCATGTTCAGAGCTGCTCACATTTGTCTCGCAGTTTTCTCTCTTGATCACTGCAAGGGAGCTTTTTATCCTACACCACACTTCAAGATGGAAGAGACAACTAATTCTAAATCTGCAAAACTAGCTTTGAGAGTAAACTCTGCCACTGAGGCTGTGATCTCAGGGGATCTTAGTTTGATGATGTGCAAAATGGGAATAATATTTGCCTGGCTTGACTCCTGGTTCTTCAAAGATCAGCACAGAAAAGCATTCTACAAAGAAGAGATTCTTGCAGGCAAAGGGTTTCGAGCCAAACAGGGTTAGGTTTAAAGCCTCCTTTTGACACTTAGTGGCTGCATGATCTTGGACATATTATTTAACCCAAGTAATCAAGAGACAGTGAAGATGAAGATAATATGATCCGCTTGCAATACAACGAGCTCTAGCTGGTTTTCTTTATTATTATTGGGTCACAAATGGCCTGATTTCAACGTAAGGGAATAAAGAGGAAGGAAATATTAGCAAGACCTGAGTGAAGATATGAATGCATGGTGTCTATAAGTTCAAAATGAGTTTTCGGTGTTTAAATATGATCCGAACTTTCTAAATGCTGTTAGGTCATCAGCAATAGATTACAGTGAAAGCATTTTCATTAAACTTTCTTTTCTCCAAAGAGAAGAAACTCAGTTTGCAGGCCTCATCGTAGATCTCAGTTTTGGGACCCTGTGTTTGGCACATAAAGTTCCTCAAAATCAACTTATTCAATAGACAAGTGATACATGTTTGCTTTTTTTCTGGAACCTTTCCAAATGTCCTTTGTTTCTCAAGTTTACCAACACCGTTTGCAAAGTCTTCTAAAGATCTGGCAAGTATATATTATGTGCTCAGCTCTTGAAGCTATGAACACGAAAGATATGATGTTTGCAAAATAGTACGACCATTCCGTGGGAAGGTTTTGCTTACTTTATATTTCCCCTGAATCAACAGGTGAGTTTGGCACAGTATGGTACTTTTTGGTAACTTTGGTCATGCTTTAGATAAATTTCTCCTTTTAGGCTATGAAGAAAATCTTTACAGTGCTAAGATATTTCAGAGATCACTCAGCAGAACAGCATTCAAAGCATGTTAAAAGAACAGAGAACCTAAAGTAGACCTTCTTTTTGTTTTCTCTATAGACCGTCGAGTCACCAATAAATTCTGCTGCATAGCATAGTAAAGTGTACTAATTCTGTATTACTGTTTTTTGCTTTGCTTTGTCCTTCCTAGAATGACTACAAAAAACTGTCCATGCAGTGCAAAGATTTTGTTGTTGGACTCCTCGATCTGTGCAGAAATACCGAAGAGGTAGAGGCCATTCTGAATGGGGATGTGGAGACACGCCACAGTGATGGAGACCATGGGCGGCCAAATCTCAGCCGTCTGAAACTTGCCATTAAGTACGAAGTAAAAAAAGTAAGGTCAGGCATGAAGCCCCATTTACATCATTTCAGTTTTTATTGGTGCTAATTAAGGATGAAGGGCTGGCATGATTAGACTGAGCTGGGTTTTTCTAATTAACACGCGGTACCAGGCTGGTCCTCTGACAAATCCTAGGAGCCCGGTTGTGAGGCATTTAAGCTACACCAAACACCAGTCTTTAAAATCTAGACTGGTTTATGTGGTGACTGCCACTTTCCTTTACTGAATGATATAAAAATGACTTTGTGGGTTCAAACTGCAAGGCATTTATTATAGAATAGGAATATCCATTATCTAAGACTCAACTCCATTTTCCCATGTGTTAATATATTCCAGTCCCAGACCAGTACCTTCAATTCCTTCTTTAGTGCATTTGAATCTCCTGCACCTTAATATGTGGAATATTTTTAGTCTGTCTTCACGCCATGCCTTCATCCCGGACTGCTTTCTTAGGCGTCTTAAAAAATCAGTTTTTAATGATCGGTTTTATAATAAAAGAAATATAGGCTGTGGTTAACTTTAAAACAACATAGACACACCCCTTTTCTATCTTCTTAACTCTTAGTGGAGAGTAGTTAATCAATATTACATTGTTCTCCATAAGTTTATATCTTGGACACCTTCGCACATCAGGAAATAAACGTCCACTTGATTTTTTCCAAAAGCTGCGTATCATTGTTACGTTCATTTAATCAGTTTGCTATTTAAGGGTGTTTATTATTTTCTTTAGGCTTTTGTTATTTCAAAACATTTGCTAAATTTCCCTCCAAAAAAAGGTGTGCCTGTTTATACAGATGCCAACAGTGTATGGGAGAGCTTGCTTCTTCCAGCCACAATGGGTGTTATGAAACCTTACCATTCCGAGAAGACAAGCATTGTCTTGTTTTAATTATCTTCAAAGTTAACCATCCTTAAGAGTCTAACCTTTTAATATTCTTTACAAGTTGTTATTTTGGGTTATTGCTCTTTGTAGGTAAAATAATGCTGCTCTCCGTCACATGTAGGGTTCACTTGTAAAAAAAAAATAAATATGTGAAAATAAAAAACTTCTGAAAAAGAAAAGTAAAGTTCAGTTATAAAGTTTTCTTATTGAAAGAGTTTCTGTAACAGGAATGAAAAGAGATATCAACGGAATAGAAAAGGCTGTCCAAAAGACATACCCCTACGCAAAGGGGAATTTAGTATAAAGTAAGTTTAGCATTTTAGGTCAGTGCAGAAAAAAAAAAGAGTATACGTTTTTTTAAAAGAGTATTTAGACATCTGGACTAGCAAAACCGTTACATAGCTCTTTCTAGATGATGAAAAACGTGTCATCATAAAAGTCTGATGAATCTTTGTATAATACTAAATTTCCAAAATTTTTCTATCCTTTGAAAGAAAGCCCATTAGGCTTATAAAGGAAGTTTGATAAACTGGAACCTTTGAGTTTAGGTAATACATGTTAGAACCCTCTCCCACCTTGCTTGATGCCCTTCACCCAGACATTTTATGTCATTTAATTCTAACAATATTTTTCATGGGAAAGCGCAGACCAGAATATTACAGCACAAGAAAAGAGTATGTGCTGAATCCTTCTTTAATCACCCTGTTCAATGTTTTGTCACTCCCTTGCCAGTTTGTAGCTCATCCAAACTGCCAACAGCAGCTTCTCTCGATATGGTATGAGAACCTTTCTGGTCTGCGGCAGCAGACCATGGCGGTCAAGTTCCTTGTGGTCCTCGCCGTTGCCATCGGACTGCCCTTCCTGGCTCTCATTTACTGGTTCGCTCCGTGCAGCAAGGTATGTCTGGGAAGCCTGGACCTCTGTTCTCCCCTCGAAGTATATCTAGTTGTCTGTATCAGAGTCAGTTAAGCAGGGAAAATTCTGTTTCCCAAATGAAAATTTCAGGCAAGTCAGAGTTGGGTTTCAATAGTCTTCTTGTTTTGAATATTACAAAAATAACACATACTTGCTATAGGACAGAGAGAAAGAAGTGGAAAGAGAAAATTAACCTGTAACATCATCACTCGTAATCTGTGAAAGAAAACCTCAGTTAGTATGTTTTCTTTTTGTCTTCTCTCTAATCACGCCTATGCATACATCTTTGTGTTTTTAATGAGGTTATATTATGCATTGCGCAGATATTTCAAATAGCATCCTAAAAGAACATGTTTCCTCTTGTTATTCTTCCTCTGGCAAAATGTGAGATGAAAGTTTTTGTTTTGTATTTATTTTAGCTAATATGACCACAGAAATCTTAATATAAATGAAGGACAATTGTGCAATTACTAATATAATGCTTGTTTCAGTGAAGAATATTTATTTTAGGGACAGAGTACATTGTAACCCGACAACAAAGACAGCCTGGTTTTTGTTTTGTGTTTTTTGTTTTGTTTTCTTTTTTGTAAGCCAACTCTACCTTCCCAGACTGGTGAAATTAATTTGTGCAAATGGACCTAGCCTTCCATCAGTGCAACAGAGCAAGTTTGGGAAATGTTGCTCTGCCATTTTGTTAACCTGCATGGAAATTTGTGTGCCTTACATTGCCAACAATCTTAGTCTCCATGTTTCAGAAGCCACATTTCTGGAACTGTTGAAGTTTTAACTCTGACAGAATGAAATCATTCTAAAGCTATGTAGCTAAAATGTCTGCTGGATCATCTGTCACATGCTGTGTAGATATGATAGTTGAGTCAGTTGCTGTTCTTAACACATGACTCATTTTTAAACATTTGTAGCAGGTGGGCGCAAACGCATATATCACTGTTACCAACATATTTTCTTCTTATTACGTAGTTACATATTTGGTGCTTTAACCTTATAGAAATATTTTTAAGTGGTTTATGGTAGAAAGCTGGTGCAAAGCCTTTTTCACATGGAGGAAACTTCATAATTACTTCCAGTGCTGGTGTTAGGAACTGGAAATGGGGTATTTTCTGATGAGGGCCAAAATCTACCATCATGAAGTTTTCCCCTTAAATTTATAAGGCCAAAAGCCCACTCCTATAAATAAAATACAAAGAAGGAAAATAAAGTGAGAATAGTGACATTTACTAGAATTAGAAATTTATCACCTAGATTTTGTTCTAGAAACTTAAAATTTTCCTTTTCTTCCCTTTTTCATAGGAATGACAGATTTCACTTTGGAAAAAATACTTTTTAATTCTCCTTACTAGAACATAGGCTCCATCCATGTGTGTAGTCTCTGTTCTGCTTCTACTCACATTTCCTGGGCCTGCAGAAATTTAAGCTGAATTAAAAGTGGGAGGAAGGACTTCTGAATTATCATTGTTATTATTCTGTGATCTGTTAAATTACAGTATCTTTTCTGAAAGTGCATAATTGTCCTTCCCCATATCCAGGGAGTTCAGAAGCACAGTGCCTTCCAGAGTGCTTGGTGTTGTGACAGGCTATTTTTGACATTCCTTAGAGCTACACGTTTCCTAAATTTTGATTGAATCCTTATTAACCCGATTTCCTTCACTATTTCTTCTTCCCTGGCCATGTTTCTTTCTGGCATCTGTCTTCCATCTTCGTTTATGAACACTGAGGCAAATTAACAAATTAAAAGGACACTGTCAAGGTATTTTTTTTTCTTATGTCTAAGATCTACTTTACTGATTGTTATTTAGTGTTTAAAAACATGATGATAACATTTATTTTACAGTTTTTTTCTTTAGTAATTTACGTAAACATTAAAGCTTCCAGAATTGATTTTTATTTAAATAGGGGGAGATTGCTCAAGCTATATTGGTTATATTTAAAATACTATTTTAAACATTAAAAAAAAATTCCAAAGCATCCACGAAAATTAAGCCAGATCAAATTGCAGGCTTATGCACCTTGACAGAGTCCCTGCTTCTATTTCAATTGTGGTTTTCAGGGGAAGGGTATCGCTCAATTGGTAGAGCGCATGTTCAGCATGCATGAGGTCTTGGGTTCAACCCCCAGTACCTCCTCCAAGTGGAAATCAATGAAGAAACCTAATTACCTCCCCCTCCGAAAACAAACAAGTAAAGTTTGGTTTTCTCTCCTCAAGTCTGCTCTTCTCTGGAAGAATTCTTTTAGTCTTTTACTTGTTCTCTTCTTCCACCATAACCCAAATATGTTTTATACTCGTTACAATAAAAGTAGGTTACAGTGTGATTTCAAATCATTTTGGCTTAAGCTAGCTTCAGCCTTTTCTGTTACTATTGATATTGAATAGTTAAGTATTTGATTATCCATAAATGCTTAAAAAGAATATGCTATACAATGCTTAAAGGCAAGTATTTCCTTCAGGGCTTACCTTGAAACGTTTTCCAGGTATATCAGTCGTTCACTTTGTTCAAAGGCTAAAGTCCCTTCTTTATGATTATTTTTTAGAAACTTGTTTGCATCACAAAATATTACAGATGACAAATTTTGCTGAAATGAATAACGCACCTCAATTCCTAAAGTCCCTTGAATGGTGCTAGAATCTCCCTTAGTTTAAGGAGAAGAACAACTGTCAGTGATTTGTAATAAGAAAGAGGAGATACGAGTATCCAAACACACCATTTAGGTTTCCCGTCAACCAGGTTTTTGTTGGTTTTCCGGTTTTGAGTTTACTTGTTTTCTTGCTTAATTTTTTCTTTAAACCAGAACGTTTAGTCAGCCACAAAAAGGCCTGGTTTGATTATTTTCTCTCCCTTCTGAATCAAATAAGGAGTCATATTACATCAGGGCCAGGGACCTAGTGAGGAAGGGAGGCCGCCAGGCCAGGAGTGAGGCCGTCAGACCCCCTTGCCCGAACGACTGAGCCTCGGCGTTGGACGCGTCCAGACAGCTCAGCTCGGGCCCCAGCGTCCTCACACTGGGGCCGCTGTAATGTGGGTGGCTTTATTCTCACCCATTTTATGTCCCCAGCCTTTTCTCTTCTTCTCCTATGTTAATTTGTGCTCTCCTGATTTTTTGGTAATTTTGTATTTTGAAGGCCACCTCTGATTCTGTCTGGAGAGAGGCAGGGAATAAATGTTTTCCATGGTTTTCACTACCAACAGTCAATGCCCCAGTCCTAGTTTTCTACTGCAGTCATATAAACTTGAGAATTTTTAAAAATTGGTTGAAGATTTATAATAATAGCTTTATTCACCAGGGTGATATTGAACCTTATAATAAAGGATTAAGTAAATCTTATCTACATGATTAACCCTTGTGTAAAACATGATTAAAATAAATCATATAAAACATGCTTACATAATCATGATTGTAATGAATCTTATATAAAACAATGTAGGATTAAAATTGTATACGTGGCATACCATGGAAAAAGAAATTAAATACACATTTACGTTCATTTTTTAAGTCCATATTAAAAAAAAACATAGCTGAGGACGATAGGCAAAAGAAAATCAAACGTACCTTTGTCTCCTGCTTGTTTTAACTTTATCTTCGCTTGATTATGTGAGAGTTCTATTTTAAATAGGATCTTAAAAAAACACAGAAAATACTCTTTGATTTAAGCTAATGAACATTCTCACGGAAGTATATTTTTAGACATCATTTTTACTGCAGATTTTTACACAGTAACTTTGGACTGGCTCTGCAATATATCCAACTAAATGGACCCATTGGCTTAAAACTAGATAGACTGATTGACTTCGATAAAGACACACACACACATGCGCACGCACACGCACACCCTGATCTTCTGCCTGGCCTGAGACTCTAAATATCAAGAGAGAAGGAACTATGTATGATTTCTTCTAGCTCTGACTTCTGCGATTTGGAAAACCATACAGATAAAGTTTATAGGAACAGAGAACTTCGACTGTATTCCTTCCATGATAGCATTTAGCTTTTTTAAATCTTAGAAAAATTTTTGTCTAAGAATTTTCATACTTTAATGAGAAAATATGAAATTGTTTTGTAAACCAAATAGAAACGTTAACTCTGAACAAGTCTGCCTGGGTGCATATTGCTGCTCTACCACTGATGGGCTGTGTGACCTTGCAGCAAAGTTTCTGGACCTCACTTCCTCAGATTCTTCTTCTGTAAAATGGGCATTTTAGTCACACCCACTCCTTTGGGTTATTGTCATGATTTCATGAAATTAACAGAGGAAAGCACTTAAAGCAGTACTTGGCACATGCAACTACTGGCTAAGTTTTGGTGGTGGTATCATTCATTTATACATTTTTCTGTAATAATAAACTCATTTGAAAAGCTGTCTAAAGCTTTGGGCCCTCTCCAAAGAAGGAATCCTTGCACACACATATTGAATTTTGTTTACCATTTTAGGTGATGCACAGAGCCCTTGAGACGCATCCTGGATGTCCTGGAGACACAAGCCACCCTCTGTCCCAGCTAGGAATCGTGCGTCTCAGACAGAAATGAATCCTGTGCCATAGACGCACAAGGACTTTCACTGTCTCCGTCTTTTCCATAAAGACTCTGATTTTCACATCGTTTAGGAATTCACTCATTGCCAGTCGCTAATGAGGAAATACAACTGGAACCGGAACCTAAAATGTTAGACTTTCAATCCAGTGTAATTCCAGGATGTTGATCAATACGTGATGGGAACTGCCCTGCTGTCCTGTCCTTGCCTGGGAGTTCTCTCCTTGGGTCGCCTGACTTTTACTCCATTTGCAACATCACCACCCACATAGCAGCATCACGTGAAGCCCGCCTTGCACCCGTGGCAGTGAAATACACATGGGGACAGCGAGCAAGGCAAATATCAACCCAGGGTGTATACACTGCAAGGGAGACTCCACTGAATACGTTCATTGCTGCTTCCTCAGTGCGTCGTGCCCACCAAACTAGTTTGCCTTTCATGAATAACTGTGATACTGTGCTCTGCCTTTTGTCATGATTATATTAATAAAATATTATCTTATCAGTATTATATATAATATTTTAAGAATGTAAATGTCACTCAGTAAAAAAGTTAATTTATTAAATTATCAGTCCAGAATATCAGCATGTGTAGATGAGTAATATGATGAAACTTTTATAGCTGCATGATTATCTTAGCAGAACATTGGAGTGTACAGATGTTTATTCTGGCGTATGCACATGTGTTTTGCAAAGCATACCAAACAAAGCTAAGATTTTCCATTGGCGTGTGTCTTGGCAGATGGCGAAGATAATGCGAGGACCATTCATGAAGTTTGTGGCCCACGCAGCCTCCTTCACCATTTTTCTGGGACTGCTAGTCATGAATGCAGCTGACAGATTTGAAGGCACCAAACTCCTTCCTAACGAAACCAGCACAGATAATGCAAAACAGCTGTTCAGGATGAAAACATCCTGCTTCTCGTGGATGGAGATGCTCATTATATCCTGGGTAATAGGTAAAGACTGCTCTTCTGTCATCATTTGTTTTCGCAGCCTCCGCAGTAGGACTGAACGACACTGTCCTCACCCATCAGTGATAACGAATGCTTACAGCAGGATGCAGTGCTCCACACAGACAAGACGTGCTTTGTGGTTGTCAAGTTCAGTTATCGTGAGCTCACTGTCGACACCACAGTCTGCTCACATGCCACGTGCTTTTTAGATCCCCAAGAAAAACCTGGGAAGAAAAGGGACAGTATAGTATTAATCAAACCCTGCCAGTGATGAAAAACTGCCTTTCATACTTTGGGAGGGCGGTAACTTCCAGTTTAAAAACAACCACATGATTTTATATTGAGATTTAATAGAACCCGAAGGTAGGAGCCACTCACATTTATGGAACATCTGTTATGTACCAAGAGCTGTTCAAGGCAGTTTACATTCATCACATCATGCAGTCTCTTTGTGCCTCGGCACTCTAGTCTGTAATATAATAATAACGTGTACACTGCTGCATTAACGTGAGGGTGAAGTGATTTGCTTTAGGTCTCCCAGATGGTAAGTGAAGCAGAGGGAATACAGTATTCATTACTAGGCTGTTTGTCTTTAGAATCAGCCATCCATATGGCTTGTCATTAAATACAGTGCAAATAAAAAAGATCTTTCCATTGGATATTTATGAATGAGTAAATTTGGTAGCTGTTAAATACCTCACAGCTGCCTCGAAAAGTGCCTTTGTTAGGTGATGAGGATACTGAAGTGAATGAATTCCAGTCCTTACGGTCAAGGAAGTTAAGTCTCGTGGGAGGAGTGGGGGCAGATCAGTAAGTAAATCAGTAAAGAAAACCTACGTGGCAGACACTATAATTGAGGGGCTGTGAGGGTGTTATGAACACACACAGTTTTGGCACCTAAACCTCAGTGTGGTGGGATGTGGCAGGGGCCGAGGAGGCCTCCCTGGACAGTACGTTCAGCCTGAGGCTTTGAGGAGAGGGAAATGTTAACCCGACTGAGAGTTTAGTGGGGAGTAAGGACACTGCGAGGCAT